CTGAGCAGAGCTGAAGCCCCATAGACACATCAAGAAGGTCAACAAAAGATGAGAAAACGCAGCCCAAGCGCAGATGCATTTATGCCCTTTAAGTGTTTGATTAATTCATGCATATATGTGCAAAAGGGAGAGAGATACAGAGAAAGATAGAGGAGAGAGAGAGAGGGGAGAGAGAGAGAGAGGGAGAGAGAGGAGAGAAAAAAGACAGAGGGAATAGACAGGGATGAAGAGATAAAATGGGAGATATATAAAGAAAAAAAAGAGGTCGATTGGGAGAGAGAGAGAAAGAGAGAGAGAGAGAGAGAAGAGGAAGAACAGGCAGAGTGAGCACTTGGCAGACAGGGGACGAGGTGGAAAGAAAGAGACAGAAATAGAAACCAAAAGAGAGAGAGGGAGATGTTAGCCTTCATATAGATCAAGATCTATTAGCGACAAAAAAAAAGATTTTCTAATAATTCCAAAGATTCTTCTTCCATAGAACCATAAATGATATTTATAACATTTGAAGTTATCGCAAAAAAACATCATTTTTAATATAGTAGAGAATATTTTGAATGTGAGTAAATAATATATATGAAGAAAATATATAGCAACTAAATTCGTCGGTAAAATATCTCTATTATCTCTATCTTCTATGACTGCAGTGACATCTCAGGGAATCAGAAATATTTACACAATTTCTGTTACATACGCCATCATATTCTCAAAATGCTCTTTCTAAGGGTATTCAGAAATATAAACTGCTCACCAGCAATAAAAAGATGAATGCGGCAACCCCAAAAAGTAATTTTACCTCCATTTTCATATACATACACACTCTCTATGTGTGTGTGTACTTATGTGTATCTGAGCCATTGAATTTTTAGTACAATTTGTCACACGCAAATGGCGAAGCTCGCAATGAAAGCACGTTAAAGTTGGCTAAAGCAAAGCCGGTCAAAAGAAGAAGCACTCGATTCTGCTGACTGGTCAGACAGCTGCTGGCCCAGTCGTCGTTGGCCATGTTGATGAGTAAGCCTAAACGCGACCTCATCAGCCAACAAGCCAGCCAGCCAGCTAGCTCGCTGTGCCAAAACACAAATATCCAAGAGATCGCAAGTTTATATATATCTGACTATATATAGATATATATGTATATATATATTTAGACAGTTGAGTTGAAGTGCATTTACTTTCAATTGCTGCTATGTTAATACCCTGTATATTGTGTTATGGAGAGAGGCCAAATATCTGTCTTTGCCTAAAGTAAATATGTCTCTATGAATATGGAGTCAGTTCATCTGTCTGTCTTGAACATGAGAACTTCTCTCTGAAGAGCTTCTGACATAGTTATGATATGATATAAGCCATCAGACAGACAGGTAACACTGCGAATATACTTCAAGTGCATCTATACTATACACATATACAGGTGCAAGTATCGAGCAAAGGTAGAATACCTGTCGAACCAATTTGCTGTAAATGGGTTTGCCATGATGCCGCAAATTCAAATTTCATGCTTTTAAATATATTTTATGTTATTATTTCTATTCACTTTTTCTTCGTTTTGTTTATTATAATTCACATTCTGACATAATGCGCACCTGATGCCGTCAACGGCAGCTTGGCAAATTGGCCGACACTTTGGATGGTGTTTCGGAATAAAAAAAGCAAAAACACCACCACCAAGCGTACAACATCAACCCGCCTCTGAGGTGGTGGCTGTGAATGTGCGCCCCCGCCACGCCTCCCGCTTTTCAGCGCGCACATTAGCGCGGCTTTGAGAGGTGCACAATAAATCCAGCTGGAAATTATTTTTAGGGGGCCAAGCTGAGAGGGGCGGGCTAGCATCTAAGACCGGCATAAAGATAGGCGCGTGATTGGCTCGCTCCACACCCCTGGCTTGAAATTTCAATTTCCAGCTGTGATGACATCCAAAACGGCGGGTGATACCAATTTTGATGCGCATTCTCCAGCCCCCTAATGGAAACGGACAGGTGCGTCAAGCGAACGCCCGTAACCAGCCATGCTTCTCGCTTTTCTCACGTTTAGAATTATGTTAGATCAAGCCCTTACAGCTCCACACAAATTTTTGACACAAGTAATACCCACATAGAATATTGTAATATGCAAGATTCACTCACACAATGTGTTAAGAATTTCCCTATCGTAGGCTCAAGCCTTGGAAAATTTATTTTAGCTGTGTTTGATCTATATTATACGCAGCAGTTGGTCTAAGGCTGCTAAAGAAATCAAGCAAAAAAAAATATATTTGAGAATGCGTAAACATAGTAGTTCAGGGTACCTTCGAGTCGGGCATACCCGCTTAGAACACTCTTACTTGTTACTGCTTGCTTTCGGACGCCCCGAAAGCTAACGGCTGCGTGCGTGTTGATTTTACGTGTGCGAAAACAGGTTTCACTGATTTTCAATTTCAATTGTCTTTTAAGCTGAAGGCGCAAGAAAAAGAGCAATGGCGATAGGGAAATGCTGCTGTTGGTGCGAGCGAGAGGCCGCCACAATTGATGCGTATGTGTGCGTGCGTGTTTCTATTTGCGCCATTTGCCGTTATTTGCGCACATTAGCAATTTCTTTTGTGTTGCTGCTGTTGTTGGGCTGGGTGGTTGTTGACGACATCGTCGACATTTCATTCGAGTTGGTCGGTTGGTCGGTTGGTCGGTTGGTCGGTCGGTCGTTCGGTCGGCCGGTCGGCCTGCCCGACATTCGTTTGTCGCCCCCACCCCATTCGCACTGCATTTCGCCCTCCTTTGGCCCATTGCTGTTGTTGCCCACCGCAGTCTACAGTTGAAAGTTGATTCTCTTGCTGTTATTTTGTGGCTTCTTTGTGGGCCTATTTTCCACTTGAAGGTGCTGTGTACAAGACCCAAGCCCACCCAATGCCCCCGCCCAGCACTTCGTTCGTCGAGTGCCGCCATTTATTATGATCTTTGCTGCTTTTGTATCTTATTGTAGCTCATTTTTTTAGTACATTATTATTTTGATTTTCGTTTTCGTTGCGTTCGCTGCGTGCATTTCATTTGTGCTTTAATTTAACGGGATCTTTACAATGTTCTATTTTTTTTTTTTTTTTTTTTTTTTTTGATGCGGTAATTCCTAAACGGAGGCACTTTTGTTAAATAAATACGTCATTTATTACTGCCCATTGTGTTATGCCTAATGCTGAGATAATGGACAAGAATGAACATGAATTTCAACATGCATGTATGTATGTATACACATACGTATGCATGTTTGTGAATGCAAACTAATGATCGACTTTCATATACTCTCTATATATATACACACAGTGAAAATTGCAATTTTTCATATATTTATTGATCATCAAAATAGTAGTGCTGCACTACCCAAAGCCTAAGTCAAATGCAATGCCAACTATAAAGATGCTCTATTTTTGTCTATTGTAGAAGCTAAAGAACAGAATTGCCAAAAATACCGTCCAGAATCCATTTGTTTGTAGCAATGTTAACTGCATTAAAAAATTGGTTAGTCATAAAGATATTCTCTAGCTCTGAAATGGACGTATTCCAAAGATTGACGCCTAAAACCCATATAAATTAATGAAAAATATATTGATCTTAGCATGAGTTTCAAATATTGTGCTTATCACTCAATTGTGTTGTCAAGCATTGAGTGCTTATTCGCACTACTATTTTTATGATCAGAGCTGAATATACATATATACATATATATGTATATATTTACCTCAAGCTAGTCCAGTTTTTATTGCTCCTCAATACCTTTCTAACCTTCCGCTTACTTAACTAGCATTTTACAGGGTATATATCATATCCTTAATCACCAGTTGAGCACGTGAACATAAATCAAATGATTTGAATGAATCTCGTTCTCCATTGCTAAAGGTCTAAAGTTCGTTTTTTTTATCCATTTCTATGGCAACATACAAATGCAAGCATATATTAAATACAATATAATACAAATCTTAATCGCACGTAATTTGAGCTTTAATTAATCTAAGTATCATTTTAATTTTCTCATTGCAGATATTGCGGACAAACTTAAATTGTAATGGAATTACAGCCACAACAATAATGCAAGGCATAATCTTTTTGTCTCTGCTCTCTTTCCCTCTCTCTCTCTCTCTCTGGCTCTGTCTGCCTCACTCATACACATTTATACATATATATAAAGTGCAATATTAATTTTAATTTTTGAGTGCTGATAAAAAAAAGTTGACGACTTTGCCGCCCGCAAAGTCGACGGCAAAAGTTCACATAAAACGGCAAAAAGTTTTTCAATTATTGTAAAAAGTGTTAAAAACGACAAAAGAGAGTGAGTGGCAAGAGAAAGAGAGAGTCAGAGAGAGCCAGGGGGAGAGAGGAAGAGGACGAACTAGTATAAGAATATGCGAGAAAGTGACAGAGAGAGCCAGAGTAAGGAAATGGTTGGACTCTAGTGAGGAGCGCAGGCAGTTGCAGTAGAGCGCATATATATATAAAATATATATATCTGCATAAAAGAGAAATCTGATTGAATTGCTTTAATTCAATTTATACACACACTTACACACATATATAAATATATATATATATAAACGTAAACTGCATTTAAGCATCGTTAATTGCTTTTTTAATTGATCGTCGTCGCGACGGCATTATAATCGAAAATATTTACATATATATTGTTTTCAATAGAAAGAGTACAGCGACAGCAACCAAGTGCAGTGTTAGAAAGTGCGCACGACAGCTGAACTCGGAGCCAAAGAAAAGTTAATATATTAAACAAAAGAAATAAGAAAACACATATATAAAGAACAAAAGCTAAACAAATTGTGAAAACAACTGACAAGTGGCCAAAGACAACGCCAAAATGAATCCGACGCCCGTGGGCATTGGATTCGGATGCGGCCGCAAACCTCCCAACAATGCCAAGAAGCGTTCTCGATGGCCGCCACCAACACTGCTAGCAGCAACTGCAACGGCGACAGCAACAGCAACGCCAGCAACAACGAAAGCGACAACAACATTAAACAGAAAACAACAACACAAACAACAGCTTCGACAAGAGCAGCAGTTGAGCACATGCAGAGGCAGCAGCAGCAGCATCACCAGCCGCCGCGCCACCCAAATGATCCTGATCCTTACACTGGCCATCGTGGCCCTAAACAACTTGGATAGCTTCCTTCCAGCACCAGCAGCTGCCTCGCTGCTCGGAGAGTCGCGACTTCGGCACAATCCATCAGGTAAGTCTTCAAGACATAACTTGCTTAACCAAAGGAAGCTGAATCTGGAAAATATATAAATATAAAAGTATTTATAATATAATTTTTATTAAACATAAAAATATTTTTAGTAAGTCTAAACAGCCCCGCTTAGACTTACTATAAATATAATGTTCTTTGTCTGTTTATTCAATATTAGAAAATTCATTTCAAATTTGATATCCTTATCGGCAACAGAGTAATAGCATAAGCTATCGATCGTGAATATATGGGCCTTCCAGTCTGAACATATCGTTAATATATTGGCCTTCCAGTCTGAACATATCAATATGTATCGATAACAAATAACTATAATAGGTTATCGATAGATAACAGCTCGATAAGCTTGAACTACTTAAAATACTCTTTGTAGTCTACAAGAGATAACTGAGAAATAAAGCAGTTAGCTGTACATATATAGACATGTCGAGATGGACTCAGCTTCTGCTGCAGATCAAGAATATATATACATATATACAGGCATATATGTGTATAGGCTGCGCCACGCTCCTCCTGCCTGTTCCATGCATTCGCACAGTTTCCAATCATTGACAAAGAGTTTGGGGCAGTGAGAAAACTTGTCTGTCTCAGCTGCCTTTGGCTTACTAATTTTAGACTTAGATGTTTCGAATTTTACTTTTGACTATTTTCCAATTAAGAATTCTTTTTATTGCATAAATTGCTCGGCAAATCCAATCTTGTTGTCTCTCTGGCAATTTGTATGCAAATTGTTTCTTGCATAACTTAGACAAGATTGTTGGCCATGCCACGCCCATCATCAAAACCGCCTACTGTGAATTGTGCACAGCAATTGATTTTTGGCTACGATTCTTGGCTTTATAAATGTGATCGAAGAACTTTAGCTCTTTGGAAGATCAAGCTAAGATAAAGTTCCTAATTCGATTTGTGCCAAGCTCTGTGTGCCAGAAGCCAAACGGTTGCCATGCTAATGCTGCACATAAGCACATTTTTAAATGCATTTTAATAATATTAAAAACTTATAGAGCAACATGATGACCACATGGCTATACTCCATGCCAGAGAGCAGGCGGTCGCTGCTCTAAAAATCTGCACCCGCAGCATGACCAACAGCAAGTCACACAGTTTAACATATACATATGTATGTATATGTAGGAAAAGTCTGTGAAACACAGAGAGAGCGAGAGAGAGCGAGACAGAGCTATAGATAATGACTAGTGAAGAGAAAGAGAGAAAGTTGAAAATTGAGGGTGGGATAAACCAAGCCGCATAAAGTTTTGCTGCGGGCGCAAACTTTTGATAAAATGCTGAAAGACAAAAAACTAAAGAAATTATGTCAAACGTCAAGGGCAAAACAGTATAACTATTTATATATATATTATAAATTTAAGAAATTGTTTTGTTTAAGCCAAGTTACAACCACATTGAAGTTTCGCTTGACCATAAAAACATTCATTCTCGATTTCATATAACATTTATCAAATCTTTTAAGGTAGTACAAGAATCTTAATATGAAACTCGAACACCCGTATGTACTCATACTCACTCACACTCACACACACACACACACACACACACACAGTCACCCACTTAGCAGTGTTGCTCTTGCTGCCTTTGGATAAATTTTAGATGCTGCTGCTAGCTCGCCCTTAAAATAATGTTTGTAAATGTATGTCTCTCTCTCTGTGTGTGTGTGTGTGTGTCTGCGTGTGTGTGTGCACTAGTTGTTGCCGCTGCCCGAAATTATGAATCAGGAAGTCTTAATAAGCGCAATTTCGAGTCATTATTCACATAGAGAGCGCCCGGCACGGCACGTTTTTGGCGAGAACGGGAGAATGACGACAACAAAAAATGTTATAGATGTTGTCTGTATGTGTGTAGTTGTTCCTGTTAACTATACGTATAGACTATTAGTGTCCAGACACATGAGATGGCGAAAAACTGCTGTCTGCGTGTGTGTGAAATACAGGGGCGGCATGCTGCAGTTGTTGTTGCAGTTGCCGTTGCCGTTGCCGTTGATTTTAATTAAGTGAAAAGTTTAATGTGCGCGCAACAGATTTGTGTTTCGCGCCCTTGATGCAGGCAGTCAGGCACTCGGGTGTGGCACGCATACATATATCGTTAGCTATAGCCAGTCAGGGGCAAGAACTTGATAGCGCGAGGCAAGCGTTATAGCGACGATGATCAAATTGTTTTAAGTGGATCTCTAAATAGAAAGCAGTTATATTAATGCCCAGACACACATAAAGATGTGCATGTGTGTGTGTGTGTACATGTAAATTCAGAATCTGCCCATGCGGTAAGCGACTGATTTGAATGGCCGTCATAATCGCTTATTTAGTTATTAAAAGCTCGCCTTGCCTAGCTTAGCTTAGCTCAGCTCGTGAGTCTCTCTCACTCTCGCTGTCGATCTCCCCCTTTTCATGTCGCTCTCTCACTCGCACTCTGCTGGCCAAGTGCAAGTTTAGTGCAGTCATGTGACAAACAGCGTGACAAACAGCCAGTCAATGTGCAGTTTCTCTCACTTCCCATTTCGCTTTGGTTTCTTTCTTCTTTTTTCCTTTCTGCAACTGACAGCTCTCGTTGCTGTTGTTGTTGTTGAAGTTTCTGCAGCTACTACGGCAACAATCAAACAGCAACACAAAGTCATTTAATGCAATTTGTTGATTGCGCTCCATGCTGTTATTATTGTGCTCCTCTTATATGTCTGCTGTGTCTGGCTGTGTGAGTGTGAGTGTTGTTTGTACCTTTTGACATTTGAGCAGAGCTTTGGCACAAACCTGACAACACGCTCTCTAGTATGCACTAGCCCCAACCCTATTCCTCTCGCTCTCTCTTTCTGTCTCTCTTTCTCTCTCTGTTTATCGCTCACACTGATGCATGGGTGGCTGGCGCCAAAAGAGGCAAAAGGAAAGAAATGGCTTTAATGGCATTTAATAAATAGTATACAACAAAATTTGCCAAAGTGGAGAGACCGAGAGGCAAATCAGACGACAAAAGGCAAACGGACGACACCGACTGACAGACGGATGGACTGACGAACAGACGGACGAGCAGACGGACAGACGGACGGGCAAGCTAACGCAACCGGATTCAAATTCCAGTTTCCATATGACAGACAGTGGCGAGAATGCAACGGCTTCTGCTGCTGCTGCTGCGCTGTTCGCATCAATATCAATGTGCTAGTTACAGACTGACACCCATTCAGCCCGGCAACAGCCAAGCCAACACCTGAAGCTGCATCTGTGACAGTCTGACTGTTTGACTGTCTGACTGTCTGACTAGCTGACAGAGTGACGGGCTTTGGCTCCGCGGATACGTTTTGTTTATGACGCACACAGTCATCATGTTTCTAACGTGCCTTACATAATCCGCCGGGAAAGACCAAAATATGCATTCCCATGAATCGCTTTTGTTACATTGTTGTTCAAGCAGTTAATAACCGGCGTTGCTCGGCTCTAGTATACAGCTCTGAGCATACAACTCGCAGTTTGCTTAATTCGCACCAGCTTCAACATATTTTTCTCTCCTTCTTTTGTGGCAACGCGTCACGCGACTTTTCCTTTTCTTTTTCTGCTTCTTTTTTGCCCTTCCTCTATTTATTTAACATTTCGAAAACCACAATCAAAAGCCTCAAACAGAAAAGAAAAGCAACCAAACGTTTTGTTGGACGCTTCCATTTGAGTATTACAACTTTTTGCTTCATTTAAATGCATTCAATTAACCACGTAATACTTTTTGAACTGAAAGTGTCCCTGACCAAAGTTTGCCGTAGATCGCGCTTTTCAGAGTGCTGCTTTATACAGATCCTAATGAGACTGGGAGTGAGTCCATCAATCAGCCTAATAGTCAATCAGTCAGCTAATTAGTCTTCCAGCTAGTCAGTCAGTAAGTCACTCCATCAATCCAGGACAGGCATTCATCAGTCTGTAAGCAAATCAGTCAGTCAATCAATCATTCCTTCACTCAATCAGTCAGCTAGTTAATCACATACTGAGCACATTTGATTGATAGTCTGTCAATCTGATAATCAACACAAAAACTGTAATTACGTCAGTTAGTCAATCATTGAATTAGCCAGCCAAACGTTCTCTCAATCAGTTAATCAATCACTCCGTCAATCAGTCAATCAGTTACTTAATCTCACTTATTTAGCCGCATAGGCTATAGACTTATAATTCAATCAGTCAGTCAAGCAATTATGTGTCATCAATCAACTGTTAACCCGTCAATCAGCGTTGCAGTGAATCGATTCTCTAACTGATTGACTGCCTATCAGTTCAGGGATCGATCAGTCAGTCAATGCGCTGAGCCATTCAATCAGATAGTTCTTCCGTCCATCAATCAGTCAATCAGCTAATCTGGCAGACATTCGGTAACTTCAGATTTGAGAAAGTTTGATACGCTTCGCTGAAGTGAGAAAGACGACTCAAGTGTGGGTGAGGTGCACTGGCACGCAGCACTTACACAAAACGCACAGGCACACACACACACACACACACACAGACATACATACTTACTTACATAGGTATGTACGATGCATGTATGTGTATGTATGCATACGTTGCTTACAGATCTAGGTAAAACTCGAATGCTCTTTTGGTTGTCGTTTGGCCTTTAATCGCAGTCGCTGCTGCTGTCGATGCAGCAGATGCAACAGCAATTGCAATTGCAATTGCTGTTGCAGTTGCAGTTGCAACCGCAGCAGCTGTAGCAGCGGCAGCATTGCTGCTACTTTGGCTGCTTCTTCTATTGCAGCACAAGCACGAGTGCAGAGACACAAAGGCAATGGCCAGTGGGTGGTTGGGCTGTTCGTCTGGTGACCGCAAAGTTAATTGCAGTATTTGTGTGTGTGTGTGTGTGTGAGTGTGTGTGTGTGTGTGAATGGGTCTCTATGTGCATGCTGCCTTGTGATGTTGTTGCTGTTGCCGCTGCTGCTGCTTTTGCGGCTGCCCGTTGCGGGCAAATAACTTTGCTAATACTTTGACCGAGCCAACAACTTT